TAATGTTTGCTTTCCTCGATCTGCATGCTGGTTTCATGGGTGTGTTCAGCTTGTCAAATTTATCAAGTTATACATCTATGATTTCCCATATGCAAATTCAATAAAACAGAAATGTGAATTGAAATAAATTTGCAGGCTGAAACATTGCTGTGAGTCTCCCGTTTGCTCTATAGTTTACAGACTTTGTTAGAGAAAACAAGTTAGAGAGAGAAAAAAAAAAGCAAATAAATATATCTACATTTTGAAATGCAAGTAAAGCCTTCTAGAGAAGCCCATAGGGAACCTGTGTTTGTGAGTCCTCACCAAGCTTCACATTTTCTCTTCTTTCTTTTTTCCTGTGGTGCTGGGGATGGAACCTAGGGCTTACCATATACTAGGCAAACATCTCTATCACGGGGTAATATCCTCACTCACCATACTTTTTTTTTTTTTTTTTTTGAGGTACTGAGGATTTAAGCCAGGGGCACTTTACCACTGAGCTACATCTCCAGCCCTTTTTATTTTGAGACAGAGTCTCACTAAATTGCTCAGGCTGCCCTTGAACTTGCAACCTTCTTGCCTCATCCTCTGGAGTGGCTGGGATTACAGGCATGTGCCAACATGCCCAGTCCCACATTTACTCTATTGTAATCCAAACCCACTATTTATTCATGTTCTCAAACTACAAAGATAGATCCATATATACCATATTCCAAGACATGACTACCAGTAGTGGTATAGAATTGGAAACCAGAGATAACATGAGGAAAGCCCAGAGCAATTTCACAATGCAGAATGCAGGGTGTGGGTTCTGTTATGTTGAAAGGCTCAGAGGACATAATACAAACTTCAGGTACTACCTAGGCAAGGTGATAGAGGTCTGTAGTCTTACTGCCTAGGAAGCATGATGCAGGAGAATCACAAGTTGGAGGGTAGCCTCAGCAACTTAATGAAACCCTGTCTCAAAATTATAATTTAAAAAAAAAAAAAGACCAGTAATTTGGCTCAGTGATAGAATGCCCCTGAATTCAATCCCTACTCCTGAAACCCTCCAGAAGAAAGTAGGAAATTGCAGGGTAAATTGGTGCACACCTGTAATCTAAGCAACACTCAGGAGGCTGAGGCAGGAGAATTGCAAGTTCAAGCAACTTAGAGCTTGTCAAAAATAAGAATGGTTGAGAATATAGCTCAATGGTAAAGCATCCTGGTTTAACTTCAGTATTGGGGATAAAAAAGAGTTGAAAGTTACTGCACTGACCTGGCAGAAAGGCAGAATTAATGAAGCAGAAAAAGAGAAGGATGAAGGAGTGTATACAGAGGGGATTAAAAATAGAGTAAGTCAAATTGCATAACTAAGGGCAAAGGTGTTCCAGTCTTGGGAAGGAAACCTGGAAAGAACTCAAATGGTACTAAAACAGAAATTCAAGGGACAGAATCTAAATCTGGCAGAACCAATTCCTTGGGTCCCTGACCACCATGGATCTTATGAAAGTACATTATAGACTACCCAATAATTTCTCAGGGAGAGACTGGGGATGTAGCTCAATGTTGGAGCACTTGGTTAGCCTGTGCAAATCCTTGGGTTTAATTCCCAGCACTACAAAAAAAAAAAAAAAAAAAAAAAAATTCCAGGGAGGGATCATCCTAAGTGAAAGGCATCTGTCCTACATCCAGGGAAATGATCAGTTGTATTAGGAAAGTTGTCTGAAATGCAGGAGCTAGGCTGGTGTCCCTTTTTTGACTGAGAGAACTATTTCCTCAGTGGTTTGTCCAAGGTGAATTATAACCTTATGTTTATTTTCAGGATTCAACCTTTGTTTTTTCCTTTCTAACTCTTGAGAGTTTTAAAACCTGGGTCAGTTATAACTCAGTCAACTAATAGTTCCATATTTCATGCTTTAATCTTGCTATGGTTATAACTCTGTACTCACCACCATATACTCACCTGTACTGCCTTTTGACACAGGGTAAATGGCCACCATTAAAAAATATCAAAGCCACCTTAACTGTTAATTTCTAACACAGCTGAATTTACACTGACCCTCCATTCCTAATGTGAACATAGGTGTGTAAAAAATGCACTCTGAAGTGACTTTGAATCTTCAATATTCATGTCTATGGTCCATTTTTACTTCAGAATCACTACTTTGGGAGGGCAGGTTAGATATGGAAATTAAGGATATAGGAATAAGGCATGGACCAAACAGGGACACCAAGACAAGACAGTTGTACAGTTGACTCAGGCCTTTGGAGAAACCACATGGCAGGGTCTGGAGCATTTCCCCTTTACCAGCTAGATTCCAGTCCTACACCAGATTCAGCCCTGGTTTCATTCGATGGAAACCTGGAGAAGCCCAGGTACACTCATTTTTCTCCAGTGAGGCACTCTCAGGAGATTGCCCATCTACTGACTCTGCCTGCCTCTGCAGGCAGAAGCAGCAAGAGATTAAAGATTTTTTTCTCTTTTATGAACCCCGCCCTGAGTTAGGAGCTTGACCCTTTGCTTTCTTATCTCCAGGCCAACAACCCTGTAGCTACACTCACCTCCATGTTTCAGTATCTCATTGGAGGTGGCTTCTCACCTTTTTGTTTCTTTGGCATAATCCTGAAATCTATGGACCAATTCTCAGAATAATGTTTTTCAATGCATAAAATAAGATACATAGGATTACAAAAGAAACCAAATATATTGGAAGATTGTCCGCAACTCCAGAGGTTTGGAGAAGTAACTCTTTGAATGTAGGCAATGTCTTCATCTCTGCACTTCTGGTGCCTAGCACAAAGCCTGGCACATAAGTGGTATTCATAAATGTTTATTTAATGAATGAATAGAAAGATAGATGGCTCCTGTCAAATCAGCCTGAGGAGATTCATTGCAGCTGTTTATGCACGTATCAGGGGCTTGCTGATGTCTCACCCCAGTTAAAATCACCTAGACCAGGGAGTCAGGGAACTCACACAGAGCAATGGCTACCACAGCAGCTAATAATGACAGGTCATTGGAAGACCAGCAAAACAGTAAAGCTCATGTATTTAACCAGCTGGAATATTCAGAAAGTCAACAGGTTTTGTCTTCAGGAGATCTCTTGACATTGGAAGCATGATGTTCATGCTACCTTATACACTACCAACAGCTCTGATGGGGAAAAGAAAGGAACCTGAGCTAGCTCACCAGAATCTTTAGGGTTCCTCTGCTATTCTGAATTGGTCCTCTCATTTCTGGGAAAGAGAAAAATATCCCTAGAGATCACAATAGGGATGAGATGTGCCTTTCTAGATTCAAGTACTAGCTTCAGTCTTTAAACAGAGATTTTGTTTTTTTTTTATGTACCAGGAGAAAAACTAAAGAAGCAGATAACAGAAGCCACTTCCCTCACTAAAGATATGTAAAAGGCCAAAGATTTTTTTCTAAACTGAATGCTAAGTCTATTAAATATTTTGAAAAGAAAAATAAAACCCTAATTTTAAAGCTGAAACCACTACTTGTACAGAGTTCAGAAGTTTCACTCTTACAACTTTTAAGATTGACCCTCCCCAGTTAGAGGGTTTCTCTGGCTATTATGCAGCCGTCTGAGGGATGGCAGAACACAATTTTCACTGGCTTTGATACAGTTTCCAACATCTGTTGGGAAAAAACACACCTTCAGAGAAAAGCCTTCTTTAAAAAAAAAGAAGAAAGAAAAAAAGAAAGAAACTACAGGTCAAAGATTTGCTTTTAATTAAAAAAAAAAAATCCTCCCATTCCTAAAGTATGTGCTTTTTTTTTGACCTATTTTTTCATTAAAGTTGCCTGTAGTTTCCCTATGTTATCCTGGTGCAGTAAACAATGCAGTCAAAGAAATAAAAAAAAAAAAACAAAAAAAAAAAACAGGGTCTACTCTTATCCCAAACACTGAAGAG